TCCCATCCGGTCACATGGGTGGCAAGCCACTCCCACAAAGGAGGCCACACCCACAGAGTAGGTTCCAACAATTTTTGAAACCCACCACTGAATGGAACCATTCTAATGTTGGCATCAGATCCAATGATAATTGCTGAACAATTGTTTTCTTTGCATGTTGGCCTACTCTACCCATTGTGAGCAGAATGATTCCACAACAAGCCAAAATACTGGCTTCATTGTTCCGTGCAACCTGTGGAGGGATGCTAACAAAGGGCTGGGCATTTTTACCTACCTTATCCCCATCTTGGTAGCTTTTAAAGCCCACCCCCACCCCACCCAGTTGAACATAATGCTGTAGAGCTTGATGGAGAGAGATTCGGGAATGTCACAATTGTAAGCATACATGGGGCTAGAAGGAAGATTGACATTTTTTACCACCACCCCACCCCCAGGTGAGAGATGGAAAATGGATTGAGAGAGGAGAGCCAGGTGAGAACTAGGAGGATGGCTAGCTGCCAACTAATATTTCTAGATTAATTGTCAGGAATCCCCTGTTGCCTCTGTGAAATGGAGTTCTGTTTAGCCTTGTATGTAATTATTTCTGTTTTAGGCTTTATTTTCCCTTTGGTTTTGAGCTGTTAGATTAGGTCATTTATTTATATTGTTTAATATTGTTTGATAAATATATTAAACTTGCTGAGATTAATTCTACTTATGATTTTTTCTTTTCAATTATTCAATTTATTGCTGTTCTTCTGATGTTTTGAGACATTTTGGGCAATATCTACAGTAGTAGGATTTTTTTTTTAATTGAACTATTATTGAGCAGTATATATTTAAAATGAATATTAATAGTACTATGTCATGTATACTTTTATTGTTAATTGGATCCAGATATATACAAATAAAAAGAAGTCTTCTAGTTGTGCAATTCTGGGAAGTTTTGTTTATGAGTCACTGTGTGATATTATACAGGTAGTGGTGGATTAATTAGGATAAACATTCTGGGGTGAGGTTTTAGCCAAACCTAGACTCATGGACAATTGTACTTCTTATATGAAAAAACTAGATTTTGATTGGTCTTATTGTAGACTATCTTCCTCTAGTTCACGGGTGTCAAACTCGATCGTGTCACTTGATGTCATGTGACGTATCACAATGTTTTTCCCCTTTGTGGAGCCGAGGTGGGTGTGGCCTGCACGTGATGCATCCGGCCCATGCGCTGCCAGTTTGACACCTCTGCTGGTGGGCCTAGTTATATGCTGTATGGCTCTAGATAAAGCTCACGTAGAACTGAAATGGAAATTTTTGGCTCTTGGTGTTCAACCAGATAGATAGTTCCACACAGAAAAGTACATTAGTGTAATTTCATGCTTTGCTCCTTCCTCACAACAGGAATATACAGTATTACAATATTCTTTTTATAGGATCATTCTTGTGTATATTCAAACACCTAAGTCAAGTCTCTGGCAAGTGTTAGATTGCTCCTTATAGTATATCACACCTGGTATTGTGATCTCAAATCATCCACTTATTAGCAAGCTTTCTTACAGATCAGTGTCAATAATTACAGATCAGCCGCTGCAAGATCACCACACTAAAACTTCTAACGGGCAACCAAGTTCTTAGCTGCAGCTATGATAATTAGAAATGGATGAGGCCCTTCTATAACCCGTTAAGTGAATGTAAATAAAAAGATCTCAGCTGCTTCAGTGATAATCAAATTGGGAATTTATACAATTTGTTCTTTGTCTAAAATCAGGGCACACAATTATTGATGCAAAACCAATATCCCAAACTCTGACTGTTAGAACAGAAAAAATATCAATAACTGACCTCTTGGATTGTACAATTGACAAGTGATATCACAATCTGTGGTTTCCCTGTTAACTTTTCAACTGCCTCTGGAGCACAAAGAATCCTGGACATTGAAGGTCAGAGAAATATAGCCATCCTTAATAAGGCTGGCCTATTGATATAGATGAGCCCCTAGAACAGTACATTCCAGATTATCAAGTATTTAAAGACAGAAATATCCAAACACCTTGGAGAAGCTATTTATTCAAACAGGATTTGGACTCAATGGCTAACTATGAAAAATTTACCCAAGTCCCTTATTATGAACCTACTTGAATTTGCAAAGCCATTGAGTTAGAAAATCTATTATTTGAATGACATATAAGAGAAAATCTTGGACTGCAGAGTAGATGAACAACCTATTGGAATAACAAAAACAGAGTATTTTATGCATGTACAGAATCCAACAAATTATTTATATATATATATATATATATATATATATATATATATATATATA